ACACGGACAAAAGGCTTCCCGCCCCCCCTCCTCCTTGTACCGTGCGGGAGGGCCGGAGCACCGGGCGCTCGGGGAGGACCGAGTGCGGAATGCTGAACATCCCCCCTCCCCCGGCTTTTCCGAGCTCCGGCGGTGGAGAGGCGGCCGCGCCAGGCTCCGCTCCGCCCTCCGCGACACGGGGGACATCCTCCCCCCCCGTCCACGTGGCCCGTCTTCTCCCGTCCCACGGTCACCGCCCCATGATGGCACCTGGGCAGGAGCAGAGGGAACCGAACCATCAAGAGGAACCTGCAAAGCAAACCGGGACCGGCGCGGCCATCCGTTCGTACAGCCGGCTGGCCCCGTTACGCCGTCAACACATAACTACCGCCATCACGTACTGTTTGGATAACTTATTAAAAGCCTAAGGCTGCAAAAAGATAGCACAATCCCTTCTCAAGAACAACGCTGTTTGCTGATCTCAACACTGGAAAGTCAATGAAGAAAGATTTCCTTGAAAAGCCTACAAAACAACCAACAACCTTAGCATACATAAAAAAACACCAGGACCGGGGTGGATTTTGCATTTGGTTCTAGAAGAACCTGTCTGAACAAACACCAGCAGGAAGGTCACCGATCAAAGAAACACGGAAAGTCCGCAGCCAGCACGCCCGGCCGCACCGCTGATCTTGCTCAGCGGCGAGGCCGTCACAGGACCGACCCGGGGCAGTTCATCCCAGTTCCTACCACCGGCTGGTGCGGAGCGGCCACCTGGAACCAAACCCCCCAGTGCTTCATCTCCCCTCTGTCAGTTGTGAAAGTGGAAGAGGGCTGACCTCAAACTCTGCTCTCCCACCACCACCTTTAATTAGGAAGCTGAACGCCTCATGGCAGTGGAAGTTCATTTCCTAGAGGAGAAGGGGACTACAAACCCACCGTAATAGTGCAAACCAAAAGGTGACCAACAGAAATACTGCTCTGGCCACTGTTCGAACCCATCTCCTCGGCACACCCGATTCATCTGCTGGTTTATTTCTGTATCGAGGGTTTCTTTGCTGCCCTGCAGTAGCTCCCAGTTCATGACTTCTTACCGCTCGTGGAATTTCTTAAGGTATTCGCGACAAATCTAAAATAACTGATCGCCTTGTCTGAAGACAAATGAAAAGATATGACCCTACTTATAACGAGGGATGCCCCAGACCTGAAGGAGCATGGACAGGCCTGACAAACACTCCCAAAATACACAGTTCACATCAGCAGCACACCAAATACCAAACTTTACAATTTAAACCTATACCATACTCGATGTTATAAAAATGCATCCCTCACATTGAGGCTAACTCATCCAGCCATATATACTAATCGGGTGCAAATTGCTCAGAATTTTACACATACAGAAATATGGCTCCATGTGTTTGGCTATTTAGCCACCCCCCACCCCAAGCCAGTATTTATCCCCTACATAACCTGCTACTTTATTCTGAGGCTTGCTGTACATATGGCACATGGGTTTACTACCATGTATAGTTAGCACGGACGTGGATGTGCAATTTACTACCAAACGGAGAAACGTGAAAGCAGTTGCCCAAACCGAGCCTTTTATAAAATTAACAGAAAGGGGTCACGGTTGGGAAAACAATACCTGCTTCCTTCTCCTCTAAGCAAAACACACTTCACTTCAAATAGAAGTTTTGGCTGAAGTCCCGCCTTTTAGATAGACTGCAAACTATCAACCCCCGGAAAAGAGCATGTTTTGTGTTCCCTGACATAATGCATTTTGAATATTAACATCAGGTAACGGGAGCTATTTCCTCCTCCTACTACACTGAAAGTACCTGCTCCAAAAATGCTGTCAGCGAACGCTGTGGCTGTCGATTGCTTCGCACCATACACTACAGTGCTATTGGAAGACTGCCTTATAGACAAACAGGCTAATTTCTCCTAGAAGCATGCAATGAGTCACATCCTGACAAAAAGCACATGTCCACCTGTGAACAGTTTCAAGATGAAAAGAGTTTAGATAGCTGTAATCAACTTTTCCTGTAAAAGAGTGCTAAAACAGTGCTTAGGAAACATGAATGGATTGCGTGTTTTCTCTATCCAACACGGGGGAAAACAAAAATGGCTGAATGGCAGACTGTAACTTTGCACTTATCTATGGCACAGCAAAAATAACAAAGTACTTTTCTCCTTTAAAAAATACCAGAATAATTTCAAGCAGTCATTACTATTTTAAAAGGAATGACTAACTGCACTTTATAGAAAAACCTCACAGTCAAAAAAACCTTGCTGACCTGAGCATTACAGTTCAGCCCAACTTCCCACCCCCTAACTGAAGAGCCCTCTTTAAAAAAAGAACTGCAAGAACATCACATTACATACCATAGTGCCACAGAGGACGCTGGCCACCTCATCAACTCCCAAGCTAAATGTTGGAACAGTCATTACTATATTCCTGTTTGCCTCAGTGTCTGTGAATGGGAAAGGTTTTTTGGGTGAGCAGAGGAGACGGGACACCTCTCACTAACAGGGATTCTTTCCATGAACTAAGCTGTTCCAGACAGACCTTGAAAGGTTCACGCAGAAACTCCTAATGATTTGGGCCGACGATTTTACCACGTTGGGCTATCATAGTATTAGAGTTTATGGTTATTGTCAATGCTGCAAAAACAGTTGGGTTTTGTTTTGTTCCCCCAGTGAGAACTGGCACTGAACCCCCTCCCTCTGCTTTTGTTTATCCAGAGCTGGAGAGCCCCCTCCCCATTGCCTTATGCTGTAGAAAGGCAACCACTGCCCTAAAGAGCTTACTTTGTAGTGGGACAGAACAGATAAAAAAGGATGGGATGCGAGCGTTACACGCTTCTCTCTCCGTGACAGAGCTTGAGGAACTTGAAGACACACAGGATACATGCTGGACATGGAATCTCTTCAGTCTCGAGATCACAAGATGCTTAATCTTCAGCCTCAGTACACGCAGGCTTAATTTGGTCCTATTCGTACAAATCAAAACCCCATTAAAAACAAGACTGGAAATACAAAGACAGACAGCAGCAGAACTGGATTCTTACTGTACCTGGAAGAGATCAGTACTGCTCAATTGAAGAATAAAGACCACATCTTTAAGAGGCACCTTTTATTTAACACACAAAACAGCTACTCTGCTGTTTAAGTTTTGGCTTATATAGTACATTAAATTGACAAATTAGGCCTAAAAAGCTCTATTTTTGAGAAACCAGAAACATTACTCGCCATTCTATGGTTTGCTGACAAAGAAGAACATGGCGATAACGTTTGCACAAGCTCTCTTTTGGATAGTCTGAGCCTACCTCGAGGGGAATTTTGTCATCAGTACACTTGTAAGATCAGGCACCGCGTACTTCGTAACAGGGTAAAGAAAACACGATAATTTCAAACCAATTTCCAAATCCTGAGTGGGTAATTTAAATGACTGTAGGTTATTACTCTCCATGAAAGCTGAAGAAATATTTTGCGAAAATATTTATTTTCAAATTTCTAACAAGTAATACAAAGTTTATGGCTACCATATGCTGATCTGCATGCTATATAAAAGATTCTCCACTGACTTAATTGATCCTGTTTAGGGACTCAGTGGAATTACACTGGCGAGGAGTGGAAGAGGGGAACATACCGGAGGCTGTCAAATCCTTGCACGCAGGGAATATGATTATAACCGTAAGCCAAATAATGACCACAAACTCGGCTCAATTATGGCAGCACAAAGAAGAAATAGTATTTCCATTAGCAAAGCCATCTGCTAAAGCTAGGCACCAGGAAGAAATTAAGTCCTACGTGGGCAAGTAAACAGAAGTACTTGCGAAGCCTGATTTACGTATTTCAATTTCAGACTAATAAATATTTCTCTTCCCATAGTCTTTAAAACTGGAACGTGTTCTGCTCTGCCACGTCTTCCCTCACTCAGCCAGGGCAGCCAAGTTATAATGCTGTGCCCTTTGGCACTGCAGAAGGAGCAAACAGGATATGGCATAGGTAAACACGTTAATTTTCTTTGCTACCCTACGAATGTAATTTATGCCCTTAAGCACTGCACATTCATCTTGATGTTGGAGTATTACGTTGAGAAATCATCTTTCGCAAGTTTAAACAGACCACTAACGGTGGCTGAACAATTTTACTTCTAAATAAGCTAATTAGTCTCTCTACTTACTAAAGCTGATAAGGATCATCTTCTAACATTTATTTTAAAAGATACAATTTTTATAACAAACAACTCACGTTTTTTCTTTCTGTTGCTATTGTTTGCACAGTGGTAGTGAGCAAGTAGGTAACTTTCCACAAGTGATGGCAATATTACATCCTCTAAAAGGAACAGTTGAAGTTATAGGTTATTTTTCACACAAAAAAATTGATATGAATCAAAAGCTTTTTAACAAGACTTGATAAATTAACATTCCCAAATTTCCCAGCTATAGAGCAAGGGCAGATAGTCCTGCAAGCCCCATAAGGAGGTTTGGGGGAATAAACATTTAATATTTCTATTGCACAAAAAACAGTCAAGAAACTTTACTTCTGCCTTCTGGGTTTTTTTTCCACTCTTAAATTTTTTGTACAAAAGAACAATGGAGAGATGCACCACCATTTTTAAAGCCCACCATTTCCTTCTTAAGAAATAGTACAAAGTAAAGCAAAAGGAGTCTTTTTTGAATGCAGGGCATTTAATAAATTAGTGGACAAACTGCTTAAACTGATGATACATTTTCACAGATACAAGTGCAACTATTTTTCTGAAAAGAAAGGCAAATTTGGTTGTTCCTCAGCACAAAGATAGTTTACATACACCAAGAGGCCATAGATGATGCTAGCTCAGGTAGAATTTGCTTCTTTCTCCAGGTCATCATCATCGTCAACAACCTGAAAGTAAATCCACAAGTAGCTTAGGTAAACACATTAAACTCTCAGTCCCATAGGACTGCATAGAGAATTTATTACATTAAATCCTTGCTGGACCCAAGAAGAACAGCAGTTATTCTACACCGCTGAATGACAATGGTCACATGAGGGAGGTAAGAAAAACCTGCAATCAAAAATGCCAGGAGGTAACGTGGCCGAAATAATAGGAGCTGGTGAAGTTATTACAAAGGCCACTAGAACAATCACTACAGCATATCAGATTTTCAATAAGAAAGCAAAAGAATCTGCATTTTAGGGGACAAAAGCTTGTCCCTTATTATCACACAAAGTCACCAAAGCACAAAGGTAACAATCACTGGCAAACACAGCATGTCCAATCCTGGGCTCCTCAGTAGAGGAGGGACGTGGACATACTGGAGAGAGTCCAACGAGGGATCACCTCCTTCAACCTGCTGGCAACACTCTCCTTAATACAGCCCGGGAGATCGTCAGCCACCTTCGCCATAAAGGCACATCACTGGCTCAAGTTCAACTTGGCATCCACCAGGACCCCAGGTCCTTTTCTGCAAAGCTGCTTTCCAGCCAGGCAGTCTCCAGCACATTTTGGCGCAAGGGGGTTGTACAGGACTCTGCAGAGTTCTGTATCTTTTGCTAAAATACAGCTTCTGACTTGGAAAAACTGCATCTATACATCCTGTACTTTTGCTTAAATTGCCAGCCTGTCCATGCTGGAAAGGAACAAAGACCTTCTTTGCCATTTAAAAGAAAACACCAACCCACCTGTTCCACGCCTTCTACTTCAGGGATGTAGAACTGGAGCATGTTCTGTATCCCATTCTTCAAGGTGATGATGGAACTGGGACAGCTGGTGCATGAACCCTGCAACTTCAGCTGCACAATCCCATCCTCAAAGCCTTTATAAATAACATCACCACCATCTTCTTGCACTGTCGGCCTGATGGAACACGATACTCAATTTAAAGCAAGTATAGCTGAAATATGTTTCCTTCCAGAAATCTTTAGTAAAGCTCAAATTTAATACACACAAAGAACTGTCAAGACAGTAACTAAAGCCCTCTTTCTCTACAACCACCTGGTCCAAATTTCCAACCACTCATACTTTGCTGGACTCTCTCACATTGACGGCTACTGTTTTTCCGTAGGAAAATTAAGCAAAACATATTTGCAATGGATGCAGCAGCATACGAAGGAATCGCTGAAATTCTAGGGGCGAGGGTAAGCACCTCAGAGTAGAGCTTGAGTCAGCCTGCAAAGGCATACTGGTTTGCCTTGAGGCCCTCCCCACATGTAACAATAATTGCCTCAGTTATGTGCCAAATATAACAGGTGTGTGTCCTACTATATGATGCATGTGCATCTGTTACCTGACTAGGGACAGTGATAAGAAGTCCTTAAGTGCTTCCATAAATAAATACGCAGTTCACCATAGTTTACACAAGACAGAAAAATGCTCCAAATATAAAAGCTTAATCCTGCTAATGGGGGAAGAAACCAGCATCTGATAAGATCCTCGTACTATTAGCATTTCTGCAGCCTGGTCCCCTTTTGCAAGCAACAAATGCCCAGCATTGTAACTGTATCCCCATAGCAACATTTTTCCAGACCAAGCTAAAACCATCAAGTTACTCTAACAGAAGCTCTTTATACTGACTTCCAAAATAACTCTCTGAGAACTACACTCCTAAGAGAATAATCTATGAATCTGACACATTTATTAACAGCTCACCATAGCAAATTATCTCCATTCCAGAAAGCCAAAGAACATGACTAAAAATCCCATTTTTCTTCTTTGAAATTAACTTTTTTGACACACTACAAGATCTTTCAGATCTACATTCCCTCCATCCTGCACCTTCTGACAACTTCTCTGCACATATTTTTGATCGACTAAACAATAAATGCTCTGTATGTACCACTGGTTTATATATAGCTTCTGTAAACTACCCTGCTATAAAATGAAGTAATATACACTACTGCTAATATTCTCATCAATGGCTTCTTGATCCACTGAGGGGCAGAGGGGGAAGGAAATGAACGACAGAAATAGGTGGGGAAAACCAGAAAATTGGGTAGAAATTCTGCAACCGTTACAAAAGGCCACTGGGAAATCAAGGACTAACACACCAGAGGGAGCTTCAATGACCACAAACCCAGCAAGAGCAGGGCCTCCTTAATATTAGTTTCTATCGTGGCTTTGTACAACAGTGTAACTGGGTTACACGTTTCAACACTTAGTGCATATGCTTGGGAAAAATGTTCCAGCTTATTTCTGCTTTTCTCCTTCTTTCCTTTCAGGAAAATTAACCAGTACCATGCGTCAGCTGTGAGATAACCAAAATGGTATTTTTAAATATCACTTTTAAAATGCAGCATCTAAAAAAAAAAAAAAAAGAAAAGAAATAAAAAAGCCAAAGTTTGTCATAGCTTCTGGAAAAATTAAACTGAATTCCATGATTTTGACCCACACACACATTTCTGGTTCCTGCAATCTGCAAGCTGGGGAAGATGCTGCCATTGGATATCACAGCTTCAGAAACACATCAGACATTTTCCCCTGCATCTAAAATGTCAAGTTGCTTATTCCTTTCAGTTCACTTTGGAAGGCAATTAACAAGCATAAAAATATACTTCAGGTGAACAACACGATCCGTAGCCACTCTTGAGACTTCATTAGTTACCACCAGTTTCTAAATTCAAGCTGTGTCAAAATACCGATAAAATTGCAACAGAATGCAAGGACAAAATCCATTGAAGCCTAGACAGCAAGGGAAACCCACGAGTAAATTTTCCTTTGGTGTATAACAGAAGAGTACAAACTACTTTGGAATACTTGGAAGAGAAGGACAAGTACAAATACAACAGAGACGAATACAACAAGGGAAAAAAAGAGTTACCGTAAAGGCAAAGATTGTGTTGTTTTCCCTGTTTAAAAATAGCCAGGTTAAGCCCAATGGACCTGTTTAAATGCATTATGGAGGAGGGTAAGACTAATACACTGATCCAAAAATCACTCAGCAATACGGACTCCGTTCAGCACATAGTTTGCTTAAACAGGAAAACTTGGTGGAAAGTCTTCAATTAGAGGAAACAGCATTCTCAGCTCTGGCCAATTTTGCACTTCAAACCCCCACACTAGATATGGAATCACGAAATCGCACATACTGAAAGAAAAACGCACTGTTCCCCAAATAAACTCAAAACCCAAGACTAACTCACTCCACCTAGCAGTAATGTTCCCAGCCTACCTTATTCTTGTATCCAGAAGTTCTTTAATCATCAGTACAACTTCATCATCTTCTTCTGATGCAGCTTGGGAAAAGAAAAATGTGCACATCAGAACTTGGAGAGAATTCCGATTATTAACACTGTATATCCGTAATGGCAGAATGAAATAGCATAAAAACATTGCTGAGATGACTGAAACCAAAAGGCAGAAGTCTTAATTCAGAGTATCTTTTTCTGCATTATCCTTGTTTACGTCCCAGGCTTTTGCCAACAAAAACCAGTACTGGATCAGAGTTGTTCTCAACAGGCAAAGGCCTTAACAGACAATAGTAATGCCACCTTTTAAAGGAAGCAACAACTAACATTCAATAAGGATGCATGAAAGGAAGCAAGAACTAACATTCAATAAGGATGCATGGGTTAAGGCAGGGTCCTCAGAAGGAAAGTTTTAGCAATTTAAAAAATTCAGCAGGAGAAGAATTATAAACATGTCGGAGTTTAGCAGCTCGGGATGCAATTTTAAGCTCAGTGTTAGTCCCGCAGAAGCATTTTTAAAGACAACTTTTTCAAATAAAACGAAGTCTATGTTAATATTGAAATTAAATCCAGACGTAACAGAGCAGAGAGGAATTCAACAGTCATCAACTTCCTTAAAACACTGGAAAAATTGTTTAAGTCTGTAAGTTGCAAATGAGAAAATTAAAGGCAAAATACTGCCCTTGAGTTAAATTATAAGTTAGTCTCAGTTACTTTCTGTTACAGTTTGGAAAAGACTTCTTACTATATCTTGTTCATTTAAGACCATAAACCTATCATTAAGACATGGACATTAACCCTGAGCACTCTTTTTTGATTTAAGGATGGAAATAACACCCTTTGTAGGTGCCCATACAAACAGGATATGCAGCAACACCCCATAGCTTTCTAAAGACAGCCTTGGTTCTTGCAAAAATATTTCACACACACAAAGTATAACAGAATATGGTCCACGCTGCCAAAACACATAGTTCAGCACAGCTCCTGTGAAGATCTACTCTTCATATTACAGCAGATGAGAACAAAGCTTTATATTCATGGGTAAGCATCTCTTTTAGACAGTGCAGCACTGCTTCTGCTAGAACATGCACATTCTACAAATTCTCTCCTGTGTTGGTTTTAGCAGTTTTCACTTTAAATTCTCCTGCATGCTTTTCTGAGGGCCAAGTGGAGGCTCTTCTGTATGTCAAAAAACTAAACTCAAGGGCAGATACTGGCGTCTTCCTGAGGAGTTTGATTTACCTGTATCTGTCCTAGGTGCCTCGTCAGTAACTACAGGTAGGCCAGAGGCAAAGAAATCCATTATAGTTGCATAAATATCTGGTTTCAGTAAATTCCAATCCAGGTCTTCACTCTCCTATGAGAATCAGAAGGGAGGGGAAAAAAAAAATGAAAACAGAGTATCTGCCTCCTAACAATAAGTTAGGCAGAGATTCTTATGTTAAAATTATCATAATGGCCTCTCACATGCGATGCATGAATTTTATTTCATAGTTTTGTCAAGTCCAGCTTTGCCAAAAAAGTACAGTAAGACTCAATTTATAATAGTCAACAGAAAGGTTTCCTTGTTTGCAAGCCAAGTGCTATTAAAATATTACCTAAGAAGAGGTGAAAAAGACAGACTCCTAAATACATTATTTGACACATATTTTTACCAAGTTGTTTCAGAGACTCAAGATTCTTTGATTCCATTTAATTTCGAGCCAAATTATCATTCACTGAATTGCCCTCTGCTCTTCACACGTAAGAGCATAACTGCACAGTTACTACGCAACACCTTACCTCTGCTGACAAGCTCCACACCTTGGGTAAACACAACACTGCCTACAACACACTCCATCCTGGTCATACAATCATCTCCTTTGGAAGCATTCTCTGGATGTCATCTAGTCCTGCCTCCTGTTTGACACAGAGCCAACTTCCACCTTGACCACATTGCACAGGGCCTCATCTAGCCCAACATCGACCACTTCTAAGATTAAAGAATCTACAGCTTCCCTGGACAACCTATTCCAGTGCTCACCCATGCATTGTGATTTTTTTTCTTTTATATTTAAGTCAATTTCCTTTATGCCACTTGTGAACATTGCCTCTGGTACTTTCGCTACGCGTGTCCAGGAGTCTGACTAGCTCTTCTGTATGGCCGTCTATTAGACAGCTGAGTCTCAGCTCATCTTTTAGTACATCTGAATCTCTGTTCTGCTCACCTTGGTGATTGTGATGAAGTCTGGTCCAAAGAAAATACTTTTAACTCCTTCAATTTTGAATAACTGCCTGTTAGGAAAACAAAAAAAATCAAAAAATGCACATACATTTCAGGCAAATGTCACAGAAATAAACATCTAGAATACACTTCTAGACAAAAATAAGCACTAAACCCAGAGCCATTACCAGGAACTTGGAGTTACTTCACCTACAGCTTAGTAAGAGCCAGGAGATCCTGCTGTGAAGCAGTGTACATCGTAAAACTGAACACATCTTACAGGACTTTTCCACAAGATGTGTGAAAGAGTTACTCTCTCTCCAGTTCTTCTTTGAGAGGCAAAATTATATTCTGTATATAAAAAGGTATTTGTTCAGCAACAAAACCAGTAGATATCTATTGTTTCAGGTAGGGCTAGTGCAAACACAAGGAATGTTCCTTAGATTAAAGCAAGTTATTTAAAGTAATTCAGCTCTATAAAAACTGCCTTCAACTCTGTTGCCAAATAAAAGGATTAGTGCCAAGCAGTCCACCAGGCTTTAACACACCAATTCACTTTGTGAGCAATCTTCAGTATTTTTAGTCATTTGCATGGCACATGAAAAATTTGAAGATTTAGTAAAGGCTCAAGATTCATAATAAATTGCTTGAGATGGCCCATACAGCACCAACAGCACCAAACAACCAGGTGGTAAATTAGCACACATTCAAAGCAAAACAAGAACTTAGATGATAGGAAAGAGCATGTTTTTGACAATATTTTAAGTATAAAAAGCAGAATGAGAATGTAAACACCAATTTCCACAAATGGTTAAATAAAACCCAACAAATTAATCTACAGAATAAATAAATGAATCTACTCCTGAAGAGTTTAAAAAAAAAAAAAAATCATTAAAAGTAGGAAGCACCTGGCATTAAATAGAGCATAAGGCTCTGAGAGCATTTTTGTAATTAAGGCAGGGGGTAAGATATTCTCCTGAAAGACTGGAAAACATCAAAAATGCCATGAATGCAGGAACTGGAAATCTTATCATAAAGGTATGCATGATGAAAGGTGACAGAAGAGATTTCACAATACCTGTTTGAAAGAATTTCCACACATAAAACAGTTACACACGTACTGGGCTTTTATATCACTAAACCAACCAAACCATTAAACAATGGAATTATGCAAGTGCCCCAAATCATCCTAGATCTATTAAATAATTCTCCCCTCTGCTTTATGAAGCTTTTATGACTTCTTTGGAAAATGAATATTCCTTTTTAAAAGAAAAGAGTATTCCATTTACAAAAAACATAATCTGGGGTTTAACGATATACAGTAGACAATTTTTTACCATTAACCTGTACAACATGCACAATCAAGCTGTTTTGCCATGGTACATATTCTAGCACATATATCTTCTTTGATGAAAACGTCTACTTGCAGATGTATGACAACAAAAAGCCACTTTCTGACAGTCGATTTCATTCTGCAACCTGATGCACTTTGGCATAATCATATCTCACAGCTTCAGGATTCCGCTAACACGTTTTGATGTCCTCAAAAACCTTCCATGTTGTATTTATTACTTTAAGTCACAGAACTTTGCTTCTAACGATCCTGTTTGCTCTCCAACAACTCTGCAAGAGACCTTTGGAAATGTCAGAGCTGCATGTTTGATAACCCTGCAGTTCCTGGAGAGACTGTCACATGAAACAGCTTCTACTTTTGCATGTAATTCTTCCAATATGCACAAAGACATCTTAAACTGGGATCTCTGGAGGTAACCTACTGCAGCATTTCTAGATCTCACCCTCAAATTGAAGCCCTTCCACCCATGTAACGGCTAAAGTTTCTTTTCACATGCTAATGTGAAAGCAATGACAAACATGCAAAACGGATGCTTCCAAATATTCCCAGAGAGGCTTGTGATGGTGCTCCAAACCCCTTCTATACCAAGATGATACGAATTGATTATCCGCTCAGCAATTCTTACTCCAGATTATGCATTTTGGTATTGAAAGCTGCAACTCCCAAGACCTGTTACAGAGCCAGCCTGAAAGAGTGGACCAAAACTGGCCTTCCTTTGACTGAAACTTTACAAATCTTCTGTGAAAGAAAAATCCATTGGCTTTGAAGTTCAGGTTGGCACCAACATCTGCTAAAGCAAGCAAGCTACTACATTTAATTTGTAGTATTTGGGGACTATTTACTTCCTTATGCCATCTATTTCCCAATTCTGAAAAGTTGCATGCTTTCCAAGTAACTACTTGAATTAAGTGTATTCTGATGGGAATGATTTTGCAAAATCAGGCCCAGAGGTCCCGCCTGTGATGCAGCAACTGTTCAAGAATACTGGTTTATAATACCACTCAATCCAGTTGCATAAACTAGACAGTGATGCATTCTGCTGTGATATAGCTGTGGGGAGTACAGACACACAGAAAGACTACTTCAGTAATGACAATCTTCCCAGCTTTAATTTTATGCAGAAGTAAAGCAGCATTAAAAACTTAAACCCAACCAAGCTGCTCCTGAGTATAAGGAGGAGCAGAATGACCAGAAGCTGTGCTTAAAACCATCAGTTGTAGACATGCAGCCCATACTGGCCCCCCAAACAAATTATGACACGTTTAGTAATACCTTGCTAAAGGTGAGCAAAATGCTGCAGCTGGTGTGGAAAACTCCATAGTCCTTGACTCCAGCACTTCCTTCCCTGGAATAAACTTCAAACTATTTGGATTTGGTGTGTCCTGAGTTTGAATAAACATGCCTCTTACTGGAAATTAAAAATAAAATTATGTAATCAAACCTAAGTAGCTTAAAAGAAAGACAAAGACCAGGGTGATGACTGTGCTATAGCAAACAGCAGCCTGTGCAGCAATGATACTTTAAAAACACAATGCAATGCGTTCCATGAAAGCCTCCAGACTGACACAAAGACTGATAAACCCAGGCATGTTATCTCGCAGGGAACAAGATGATAAATGGAACCTTGTTGTCCTGGTTTCGGCTGGGATAGAGTTAATTTTCTTCCTAGTAGCTGGTACAGCGTGGTTTGGATTTAGTATGAGAATAATGTTGGTAACACACTGATTTTTTTGGCTGTTGCTAAGTAGGGCTTATCCAAAGTTAATGATTTTTCAGTTGCCCGTGGTCTGCCAGCAAGCAGTGGTACAAGAAGCTGGGAGGGAGCATGGCCAGGACAGCTGACCCGAACTAGGCAAAGGGATATCCCATACCATAGAACACTGTGCTCAGTATACAAACTCTGGGGAGTTGGCTGGGAGGGGTGGATTGCTGCTCAGGCATTGGTCAGAGGGTGGTGAGCAATTGCATTGTGCATCACATGTCTTTTCTTGGGTCTAATTTCTGTCTTTTTGAATATATTCCTTTTCATTACAATTATTATTACTGGTTTTTGTTTTTTTTTAATTTTAGTTATTAAACTGTTCTTATCTCAACCCATGAGTTTTACTTCCCCCCCCCAATTCTCCTCCCCTTCCTCCTGGGAGGGGAGAGGAGTGAGCGAGTGGCTGTGTGGTGCTTAGCTGTCTTTGCTTCTTTTACTAATTTTCATTTACTAAAAAGCATGCTACTGCAACAGCATCAAACTGCATGACGCCAGTACCATCCTCGCCTTCTACTGAAGGCCAAGAGATCCAACCTTCATTTCTCTGTTGCATTTAGGTTTTTTATTTTATGATCTTCAAATGCTGTGAAGTCCCTTCTCCAGCATTATCACTTACTGTTCAAAGCATAATCAGTTTTACTAACCCTCTCGAAGATACACAATTTATAGGGGTTTTTATTTCATTTTTCAGCACTCTAAAAAAAGAAAAACAAGCATAGCAATAGTTACAGTGAACCGCGCCCTGCTTATATTTTTCAGAGTGAAAAATTACTGCAAACTGTCAGTTAACTTCCAGAAACTGAACTGACCAAACAATTAAAAATAACATTATTTACAATTCACTAGTAAAGATGTTTAAAAGATAAATTTTAAATGAAGTTCCTTTTGCAGCACAGGTCTGTCTCACTAGAATAGTGTAAAAAAACTGATCTTGACTAAAATTTAATACTCTACATTTAACGGTGTGCATTTAATAGCTTATTTTCCTGTAGACATGTCCACACAGCATATGCCTGACGTCCCACTGAAGTTGAACATCAGCTAGGGACAGTCTCACATCTTCTAATTCTCTTTCTAGTTCTCCTTCTTCCTAACTCTTCCTGCACATCAAATAACAAAGTGATAAATGAACATTCAGGAAAGAAAAAAATGCATTTTAAAACCAAAAATCTCTAGGAACTAATATTTATAGATAAATTATACTTGAGAAACAAGCTCACATAACTTCAAAAAAAATGCAATAGAGGAATTTAAAGCAGCAAAAAGAGCTGACATTTTCATTTTCGTAAACTGCCATTTTGCTCATGACTCCCTAGTATTAGATGACAAATCACGCTATTTATATATTGCCAAATTGTTACTGCATGTGCCTGTCATGGTAACAATCCATTTGACTTGAACATACACAATGGGAAAGTACGCACAGGCTACATTTTCTTTTCTATTTTTTTTTTAAAAGGAAAAAAAAGACTTAGCACAGAAGCATTTAGTTTCAACATGAAAAGAATAATCCTGACAGAGCAAGCAACTAGTCAGCTTTATCTATGGGTATGGAAGAACTACTCATCTTCCAGATACAGCTGGCATGCAAAAATCACATCCAGCGTAACAGTGTAGTTAACAAATAAGCAACAACGGGTATTTGGATGGTGTAAATGGAGTACTCTCCGCCCTTTTTTTGAAAGCAGTGAGTCACCAACAGCTATCGTACGTTGTTCATCTAGCATTCCTAACATCCTAAAACACAAATGGCTGTATCAGCTCTCAGAAAAGGTGTCCACATGGGTAGGCTCTGTATTTTAAAAGTGTCTTCTGCAGTTGAAGATCTGCAGATCTGAAGACCAGGTTTTCCAATCGTCAATCAACCTGGAGAGTTCTTTGCGCAGCTGTGAATAACTCATTTGGAATTTGTTATTCAGTCATTGGTAACGGGCTGTATTTATATCTAGCATCTATATCATTTCTTTCAAACCTCTGCGGAACACTGCGTATACCTGCTTGTTATTCTGTTCTGCCATCTGCTCAAGATACCAAAGAGAGGCTGACTTTAGTAGGACGCTTGCAGAAGCAGATAAAATACTAAGTCTACTTATCAGAGTCTGCCTGTTGATTAGAACTGAAATACAAAAAATGGTGCTGGACCAGACAAGATTGGACTTCTCTGAAATCAAAATTAAAAAGAAACTTCTGCCTGAGCGACTCATTTAAATAAGATTTCCATTTGTGACTAATTCCATGCAACAGCACCTGCAGATTCTTTTTGCTACAGCATTGGAGAGCAGTTAAATCCCTCAGGCAGGTATAAAAGCACAATGTTTTTCTGCGGTGCAAGTTTCACAGATTTTTATTTTTTTTTAATTTTTTTTTTTTCTTTTCTGAGCATTACCATCCTACCAAAGAAAATGTTAGGTACAACAAGCTCAATCTTAAACATCATGTTGTCAGGGTAATACCAAGTTGCAGATAATATTAATGGAGAACATCATTAATGCACCATACATGGATGCATGTTCAAGAGGGGGAAAATTAAAAAAAGAAAATATTGCAGCTATAAAAATGAAAGGCTTTGCTTTCATCCTTGCTAGGTTCTATCTGGATGGCCAGCAATTTTATCTGGCAGAGCTCAGCAGCTGAAGCAGGACAGAAAGCAACACAGTCTTTCACAACAGATACATTTACACTAAGATGGAAATTAAATTAAGAAGTGTAGCAAAGCCCAAAAAATATTTTGCATTAACAGAGCCCCTTATAAGTCCTGGCAGCTGAATGATACAGAAAAAAACGTATAATCAAGCACATTGTGAGCCATCCACATCATCTCCCACGGCTCCAAATGTCCAAATGCACTAACACTTCATTAAAAACCACCTAGGAAATGTTATCACACTCAGATTTCAGAAAGAATAGTAGGCTTTCGTTATTACCACAAGACACAAAAACTCACAATGGACTCACCTATTCATTTTTAACTAGTATTTACCTGCATTATGCCATACAGCAGATGGAAGAAATGGTTTCTTTTGTGCAAGTTGGTGGAAAGACCGTTGAGTTGTCAAATTATGATCTTTTAACATCGTACGACAGAACCTAGAGAAAAATAATTTTACTAACAATTTCTAAATTGCAAGTTTACACTACTAAACTACAAGGTTACACAGAAAGAGCGTTTCACATGCTTCTAGCAACCCCAGAACTCAGCAAGCCACTCACCTGCCTTAAACCTCTCAGATAATGTAGCAAGCTCGCAGGCTAGATCACAAAACGTCTCTTACTTTTCTCCTCTTTTCAGTGCTCCCTCTCTCGTAACAAAGTAAGACATAACTCTCCAATTTTAGCCACCTGAAAAATTAACCTAGACTCCTTCACAGTCACTAAAGACAGGCAAATCACCTTACTTACCTATAACAGAAGAGGATAAATCACCCTAAGGAAGCCTTTTGTCTTCCTTTCAACAGTAGCAAGCACCTGGAAATCTACTTGGGCTAAATACCTAATTTTCAGAAGATTAAAGACAGCTGAGCTGAATCCAACCCCAAGCACCTGAGGCTAAATCAAGGCCAGAATTTACTCCTATACTCTGTGGGTTTAACTGGTCAAACATAAGGCTCTTCTGTAAGACTCTCAGAAGATATGAGACAGGCTAAAAAGGTAATGCAATAGCTACTCTTATACAAACAATTCTGCTAAGAAAAAAATACCAGGACAACATTTGGATAAAAGATAAAAACTCCACTAGCTACACATACCAAGCCATACCTCACCCCTGCCCATCTCTATGTATTTCTTCCCTTTGGGGAATAAAGAAGTTCAGTATATTCTCGCTCAAGTACTGTTCCAGAATTAAACCAGACCAGTTAAAAAGAGGCCCTGCTCCATACTGGCCACATAATTCACACTAGCAGTCAAAACAGGGGTGGTGTCATCTGCTCAGATGAAGCTAAAAAGGGGGAGAGCATGGGGGGGGAGAAAAAAATGTGAAGACAAAAAGCAAAAAGTAACAGGCCTCTTTCAAAAGCGTAAATACTTGCTTGCACATCTGATTTCTGTAAATATATGCACAGCCAACAGCATCCGTGTATGTCAGAGCAAAGTGAAAAATCAGAAAATGTAACCAAAAGCCACCTTGTGTCACACATAGCACAGATAAATATTACATACAAAGGATTAATTATTATCTGGTTTCTCTTCTCCTTAGCAGGTAAACTAAATAAATTATATCTGCAGGGGCTGTTACTAACAGAGGAGGCTGCTTCTCTCAGGGAGTCGTAAAACAGAACACAAGCACTACACCTAGGCCCAGATTCCTCAAACACAGTTAACAGGAGTAAAGCTCTGTCTCATGAAATGGACCTCTCTGCTGTGAGTGAGGGAGACGTGAATACAGAAAAGGTCTAAATCACATTATTTGCTTACTTTTGTGATCTTGATAACAGGTACAAAGACCACAACAGGATGTGCGAGGAAGGTCCCCCAAGAGAAAAGTTCTCCTTTCTCACTTTAGCTTTGGGGAATAAACATTATAGTCCATTTTACAGTCCACAACACAGGGCAGGAGGGGTGCTCATCACTACGCAGTCCTTTGAATTTCCCCTTACTGCAGTCTTTAGCAACTGGGGGGTGGCGAGGGGGAGGAATTTCCCCTTATTGCTTGGCCCTAAGGATACAAACGTGGGAGAGTTAACTGCCCCTCATTGCATAATGCTGTGCACGTGAGGGGAGAGGGAATTACTCCTAGTTGCACCGTCCTGAGCACAGGTGGGGGGAATTACTCCTCGTTGCATGGTCCAGAGTACATGTGAGGGGAATCCCCCCTCATCACTCACACGGTGCGGAGGGGGGCGAGCAGTCCCTCAGGGGAAGGCCCTCAGCACCTACCAGTCGGGGGGAATTAACGCCTCGCCGTTGTAATGGGGTCGGGGGAAGAGCCAGCCTCTCGCCGCCCGTCTGTAACGACGAGTCGGAAGAAGTAACTTCACCCTCGTCCGCCCTGCTGCAGCGAGGAAGGAAAGGGGAAGACCGAGGAGAGGCCGGCGCGGTGCCGCTCACTGCGACATGGCCGTCGTCCCCCCCCCCCCCCACACCA